TCATCCCTATCAGATAAATCCCAACAATCCGGGAATGGGCCCAATGGCGAAAAGAAAACGTCGCCATCGAACGATCTTCACGGAGGAGCAATTGGAACAATTGGAAGCCACCTTTGACAAGACTCATTATCCTGATGTGCTCCTGCGAGAACAGCTGGCTCTCCAGGTCGACCTCAAGGAAGAAAGGATCGAGGTTAGTCGAATCTTACACTTCTACCATTGGTATCTGGAATTTTCTATCTTAATCTTTAGAGGCGGGAGTCTATTTTTTTAATCCTACAACTTTTCTCCTTGAAAATTTCTTATAATTTCATTTTGTATTGTATTTCTTGCTTCAAATATGAGACTGCTTCAACTATAATAGCTTTCTCGTTCTATAAAAATTAATGATGATTCCTTCGACGAATCTAAAATCGATTACGCGACGTTATAATTAATACTCGCAATCAGTATCCATTGTTATAATCATCTTAACAGTTAAATGTTGATTTCGGAAATTTATACACTAAAATTAAAGCGAGAGTTAGATCTAGTTATAAAAATCGAGGACACTCCCTTTTTTGCATTGATTATGAAATGAAATGAACGGCGAAGCATTTAACGAAATAGTGATGTGATAAAGACGAGAATAGCGTGGAAAAGAGCGTGTGTTGACAATTATAGGCTCTCATTAATCATTTTGGGAAAACGGGGGACTCGCTACCGTTTCTGAGCAACGTCGGTGAAGCTACAGCGGCAGGCATAAAGCCGCTTGCCGATGACAAATTACTTTCTCGAGCCGTGAACGGAATATTGGATTTCGGATCGACAAACATTGACCGTCCGGATGGCCCGGGTCCGGTACGCACAATTTGTAATGTAATGTCGGCAAACTACGCGCTCACGCCGCCGCCGCCGCGGCCGTTCGTTCCTGAGTGGGATGGAACGGTCTGTGTTTGTCGTCCTAATGCATAAAAGCCCATAATATTTTAACGCGGTCATTAAAATTTACCGTGGTGGGTATTTATCGGAGCCTCGGTCGACTTGAGCTAACAAGTTGCATGCTAGATTAAAAGCTTTAGCGATAATGTGTTTACTTCAATTATACATACGCTCGCGCGCTCTCGTTCGCACACGCGTGTATGCGCACGTGTATTGGATAGTGCGTATCGTGCAATTTATAATCTCTAAAGTGGTGTACTCTCTGCAGACAAGAGAGAGAGAAAACGAGAGAGAGAGAGAGAGAGAGAGAGAGAGAGAGAGAGAAAGGAAAAGAGAACGCGCGTTTCCGCGTCACGTTAATTTCGTATAAATTTACTTTTCAACAAGTTCATTGTGTCGCCGATCGAGCGTTATTTTTCCAGTAATTAACGATGTAGCTTCTCAATCTGACGGTAAGCGACATATTGTGATTTCTGTGATTTTTACACAGCGTAGCCCCGTGACTGAAAATAGTATCCTTTTATATACACACCGTTTTGTACATTTCAACACATTCATTTTGTCTGCAATGTTCCGATTTTTTACAAAGAGCCTTTCTTTTAGATTGATGATTCATCAAAATATAATTAACGCATGTTAAAGTACGTTAAGGTCGACTTTCAATACTTCATCGAATTGTGTCTAATTAAAATTGTATAAATTTTTTTTCCTCCCGTATCTAATTGCTCTAAACGGTTAATCTAAATGTAAAGCTACCATCGATTAAAATTTTATTAATTTCAATTGCCGATTGATGTGACTTGAATAGTTTTAAAACACCGGAGCCGCGAGAATGGAATTGTGAACGGGTTGCGTAAAATCGTCCGACGGAATCCGTCGAGCAATCACGGACTCTGAGAATCATTGACACTCGCGGGACCACCCGCGTCGCGTCGGCTTTGCCAAAGAAAAGTCCCCCGAGTCTCGAGAGTTGTTTAAAGACGGGAACAACATATACCTGCGTGTCTGGTACCCGGGGCCGCCTCTTGGAGCGAGAAGTCCATGGTGTTTGCACAGAATTAGTAGAATAGCGACTCTTGGTGCGCCCGATGGAGGGAGCACAGGAGAGGACAAAGAAAGAGCTAGAAACGGGTCGGCCCGGAGGGAGGAGGAGGGGGTGAGAAACTTAAGGTACTGTTTTGTGTGCTTCCAAGATCGCGTCGACTCGACGGATCCGAGGATCGACACGAGAAAAACAACAGCTAGAAAATTATCGGTGCTCCCACACTTTATTCAGGATACATATCGGCACACAACTCTCTGATCGATCGATTTAGCACGCACGACACTGTTGTCATTAAAATTTCCGCTGACAGGACACGAGACACCTTGGCTCACGTGAAACGCAATCAACGTGACAGATTTAAGTTTACATCTCAGGGAGGAGTAAACTGGCATTCATCGTCCTTAACCTGAGAGAACTCTTCAAAGTGAACGAGGGTTAAGCTATTACAATAGCTAATGCAGCAAAACGAACGTGCGAGTAGGGGTTGAATATTGATTGTCGGTTTTCATTCGGATTGATTCAGACAGGCGTGAGGGATGCATGTCCCGCGAGTGCGACGGGAATCGTTTGATGTCTCTCACGCGTCTTTTCTTACTTCGTTAAGTAATATCTCGTAGCACGTTGATGTATTTTGTAATTACGATTTAAAAAACGTTATATTTTTCAAATATCGTTCAACTGGCTCCGGCAAATGTTCGCTTTAATTTATTTAATTGCATATAACTAAAAATCGGTAGCATCATACCTTCACCTTTAGAAAAGCTGTCATTATATTATTTTACTTTATTTATAGACATACTCTTAAGTATTTTTTATTTGTTCTATAACTACAAAAATAAACTTTACTCATTATTGTCACTTGTTAAAGATCCATTATTAGATTGATGTAAAAAACTTGTCCCGTATCTGTCAAATAAAGTTGAAAATAAATTTCCAGCAAAATCGAAGCAAAACCACCACGGACTTTAGTACGTACTCTTTTTTTAAAGAAGTTTTTAACTTTTTCGCAAGGCTCTTGATGAAAAAGGGCAAACCTTTTACACCAATCTAACGCTTTTATTCGCGGGCAAAATAAATCCTATTTAATCCTTCATTTGATAATGTTGCTTTAAGCAATTTGATCTTATTCACTTCCTAAAATGCTCTTGTTATTATGATTGAAACTAAACAATATAAAAACAAGCTTCTCTCAATATTCAATTTATATTGTAATTTAAAGATATAGTCTATAAATGTTATCTATGCCTATAAAATCTGTAATGCATTATAATCGTCTGAGAAAGAATCGCTCGATTTTAGTTCTGTCGAATGAACGATTGATTTACACGAGTCCTTTTGAACGTTATGTTGAATTTAAAAAAATTCATTTCAGGTATGGTTTAAGAATCGTCGCGCCAAGTGGCGGAAGCAGAAGCGGGAGGAGCAGGACCGCATCCGGAAGCTGCAGCTGGAGCAGCGTCAGCGTACCGATGACGGCGGTACCGCGGCGACGGTGATGGTGGGTGATCGTCTGGGTCTGAGTAGACAGCAGCAGCAGCAGCAGCATCAGCAGAAGCTCGAGCAGGACACGGACAGCTCTGACCTCGAGGTAGCGTAGTGCGGCCATGGTGACGACGAGACACGACGAGTCTCGCCCATCGGTAAATCGAGGAGATCGAGGACGACGGAAGACGGCCCGGTGCTTTCACGCTCTTATCGACAATGTGTATGGGCATGTACATACGTGACTATGTTGTAAATACCATTGTAAATATGACTAACGATGAATGTGTACAATACCGAAATAAATTATTGCATCGAAGCACAAAGTGCGGTGTGTCTGTCGTCTGATCCCCTCTTAAGTCTGTTCTACAATAAGGTCGCAAGACGTAAGCTGTAAGAAATTAACCAATCGTATAAGTTGATTATTTTTGTCACATTCAACTGTGATTGGCCAATTTCTTACGACTTACGACTTGCGATTCTATTGTAGAACAGGCGTTTCGACGCATTCGCGAAAGAATCTTCTTCTTATAGTACATTGAAGAAATACGAATTTTATCGCGTATAACTTTATGATGATATTTATATATACAAGATGCATATATAGTGTTGCATGTTATACACTGTCTAAAACTTTTAGAGTGAATCTCATTCTAAAAAATGAAATGTCACCCTCAAAAATAAAAATTGAGCCACTCTTTTTCCGGATTGGAAAGACTCAATTTTCACTCTCTAGAGTGAAATTCCATTCCAAAGAATTTAGAGAGTATATAAAAATATTCGTAGATTGCCATATTAACCAAGTCGTCATCAAATCTCTTTTTACTTCAACTTTGATTATCTCAATGACGTTAAGAGTAAAATTAATTACATAAAATTAATTTCGTCCGCGCTTCTCTCCATCCCACGCAGTTAGTTTGTTGTTACTGCGATTTAAAATATACGTTTATTTCTTGATTCAATATATAATTATAGATCAAATTAAATCAATTTGAATTTATTTTATTTTATCTCGAATTTTTCGTGGTTGATTTTCATTGACCTTCAATCTAATCCGAAGAGAGTAATATCAATTTGCCTCGATGTGATATCTTTATCGAGGATTCTCTCATTTACATACAAGTGTGCAGCGAGGTGTCCATTTAGATCGCGAGAACTTTAAATCTCCCGATACTCTTTCTCTACTATCGCTTATTGTTATTGCTGGAGCGCAACGGTTTTACAACAATATTTTCTTATTGAAATCGCTTCGCTGTTGTGGAAAATACATTCCCGTTTATATAAACGTTTACACGAAGCTTCGATATTCCACCACGCATAAATATTAAAGCCCGTCGATCGTTTAGAAATTTTGAAACGCGTTTGGAACTTTTTGCTCAGCGGTTTTCCGGATATAGGATAGGAGAGCTTATGGGCGAATCAATTCAATCAATTGTATCAGAATAATTGCACCGATATGAATTAAATTTAATTACAAATTTTATTTAAACTAATAAAAAATCTGTTTTTAATTTTTTATTTTATACACTTAGTTTTTTTTTTTAATCGAGTCCTCAATTATATATCTTCGATTGTTACATGCGGTTACATCACGTTCGGATTTACTACTTATTCATTCTTTTTTTCTTTTGCCCATCGAACGCAAATCTCGACAACTTTCCCGTTATTTTCCCACCAAATCTTCTGAAACGGCACTTTTTTTTGTCACGTGGTTTTCTACGAGATTCGAGTGCGGTGTCTACTTCGACAATCCTAAGAATTTCGATGGGATTCAGGCTGAATCGGCTGCGTCCGGGGGAGCCGATAATCAACACGAGTATCGTCACAAATTTGCGGAAGGATGTGGCTCTCAACAGATACGCGGCGCCGTGGCCGTACCGGAAGAACGGCGGGCCGAACGAATTCACATCGCACACGTAGTAAGCTCCGCAGAACTTGAAGAGGCCAAGGCAGGCGTTTTCACATGTCAGTACGGCAAAGTGATAGCTCGAGAATACTCGCTCCAGTGTCTTCCACAGACACTCGTCCGATTCAGCGTACAATCTGCCGCAAACGGCCGGCAGCATCCGAACCTCGAACACGATCTCGCCGATATCGAAACAATTAGAGAGATACTTAAATGAGTGATTAGCATCTTTGTCGCTGGCAGACTTGAGCTCGACCTCATGCTTGCTGTGCGTGTAATAACGATCCCCGCACACGACGATCGCGTCGAGAGTCTTCGGGCTCCAATATTCCGGCGCCATAATCCTAGTCATGCCAGCACACACTACGTAACAAGCGTACGTTTGCATACCGCGGTTCGCCTCGTCGAACATATCGTCAGTTATGTGTATCTCGCCCCATAGGGAGAACAGCCTGTTGGGTTCTTCCACGTAGTATTGATGCCATCTCGCTTTACCGGCGGTGGTGACCTCAGTCGAGCCTGGTCTTTTCCGGTTCGCGGACGCGCATTTTCCCCAGGTCGTCGGCCGATAACGCTTCAGCCATGTAGCTCTCTCCCTTGGTTCCCTCGGATCGCCCTCCTCATCCTCCTCTCGATCGGTCTCGTCCTCTTGGTCCTCGATCTCAAGCGTATCCGACGGACATTCGTCGGCGCGTCGCGGCTGCTTGGACATTCCACGTTGCAGTAACTTTAGATTGTCCAGCTGACAGCAGCGGAAAGACACGTGGAAGAGCTGAACATCGATGTAAACGTTCCCCTCATCTTTATAGTTGGATCGATCATTGAATCGCGATATTTCCTTCTCGAAGGCGTGAGCTCTCAACATAAGGATCATTAGGTGTCTCCGTAACGAGTCCTTGGAACAGAACTTCACGATGCAGGCGAAGCCATCCTTTTCTTCCCAGAAGCCATACTCATTGCACCGGTAGGGATTGTACAGGTACCAAAACAGACCATCCTGCCAGAAGGCCAATGAGAATCTGGCTGTGCGCAATATATAGTCACGATATCCCGTGATCATTTGGTCGAGCCACTGCTCGAGCTCTTTCGGCGCTTCGTCCTCGTGCACGGGCACGTAATCTGAATCGGTCACCTTCTCACAGCCGAGTTCCACCCCGACTTGCAGGGGATCCTTCCTACTTAACGTAATCTCCGATCTCACACCATACTCTTTATAGGAAATGGTAACCAACCGTGCCACAACATCTTTCATTTCCTCGATTAATTCTACTTCGACGCTGTATTTGTAATTGTACACAACGACGTCGTCTAAACGCTGCTTTGCCTTCACGTTGATCGAGCCGATGTGGGTGAAGAGCATCCAGGCATGGTCGTAGATGTAATCGATATTAGCGCTCCGCGCGTATTTGTATCTTCCATGCAAAGATATATATAAATAATGTCGTTTTTAAAAGAGATGATAGCTTTGAATGGATTCTAAACTCTCGTAAAAGTACAGTACAGTTAAATTCTCACTCTTCCAATGCGAGATGTTAAAATTACGTCACGCAGCTTGACTCAAATTCCACCCACGTATCCTTTTACTTTGACGAGAGTTTTCTTTCCAAATAAAGTTTGAATAGAAGAAGCAAATCTTGAATTGATCGGACAGAGAATCGAAATAATTTAATTTGCTTTTAAATAAATTAATTAAGTAGACTGTAAAAAAAAGTGCCTTTTTGAGTGTAAAGTCTTTTCGTTTATTGTAAGAATAATCAAAACGCATCAAAATATATTCAAATATTCCACATGTTTCGATTGAAACATATGGAACATTTCCAGCAAACAAGCTGACGTAATTTTTCGTAATTTTGATATTTAAAGTGACGATAAATATCGTCAGGTTGTTTGCTAAGATTATTGTTTCGATTATCCTGATTGACATATTAATACCTGAGCTGAGTTTTCGCTAACAATGCCACGATCGCTTGATAGAAGCAGAACTTCCAAGTGTTCCTGCGCTCTCGCAGCGAGCTAATTTCCAGTAAATGCATACCCTTCAGTCCACGAAGAACCACGTAGGCATAAACACGCTCGGACGGCAACTTCACAGTCATGTAATCACCGTCTACCAAACCAGGACGTTGGTCGCCAACTGCGCAATCCACCGATAATTTCAACCTTGATTCTAAATACGACACCGGCACACGTACGTGGCCTAGTTCCTTGCGATTAGCAAAGTCGCTCCTCTGCTGATTTTGAAGAAATTTGTCCTTGTCATCGTCCGTTAAGTCATAGAGGAATATGTCCCTTTGCTTCCTTCGTCTTTCCTTTTCCCATTCTGTCTCCAGTCCGATAACTGTATCTCGTGCAAAGAGCGGCGGTACACTCGGCCATAATCTTCCGCTTCCATTCCTCGACATCCTTCGATGTATCGTGGTCTGTAGGAAATATCGCAAATTTGTAAAGAACTTTGTATATGTGTCCGCAATGTAAAGAATAATAAGTTAATGAAGGAGTAAATAAAATAAAGTATGATCTTTGCAATAGTTATACATATACAATCTTAATAAAACTTCGCTGAGAGAAATATTTTGCATGATATGTAATTTACAAAAACTTGTTTACTTTTTAATTAAAAAATTTTATTGTTTTAACCAGAATTTAATTAAAATAATCAAAATTTTGATTAGAACAACAAAATTTTTTAATTAAAAAGTAAGAAAATTTTTCTAAGTCACATATACAAAGCATTTCTCTCAGTGTTCAATTCCGCAGAGATGTGACAAAAGAAACATGAAAAATATGTAAATTAAATAAAATCAAGAATAATTTGAGCTGGCATCGTTCCGTTTCTAACCGGTTGCCTCGCCCTCATGCTTCTCCAGATTCTCGTCGTCCCGCATCGACCTAATCCAACAGTCGTCCTAGCCCGATGCTCGTGCTGGAAGTCGCTGAGCGGAAAGCACTTGATAGTTTCCGTATCAGATAGTCTCGTGATGTCGGACATTGTCTTCCGTTTGTTTTTTTCCTCCGGATTCGACTCTGATCTACATGATGCTTTGTGCAAATTCATCAGTCTATCTATCTAAATGAGAGATAACGTTTGCAATTGAGGAAAAGGAGCCTCACGCGTGCCTTACGATTTCATCCCGCTAGCAGACCGCTTGTCCATCCGAAGTCTCTTCTTCTTAGTGTCTTCATTCGTTTCATCATCAGTACTCTTATAAGCTATTTGATCATCGCTCGTCACACCTTCTGTACCAGACTCCAAAAAGTCGCTGCTAACCGTCTCATCTTCGGTTTGACTTTCCGGTTCCGTCATGTTTTAGCGAAATTGGAGTAAACCGATTTTACAACATAATTTTTCAATCATAATATTACGCAATTATAAAAGTTTAGTTATGGGATTGCAATTAGGATTCATATCTGTGTGTGTCGACGTATTTGGCTAATTTAATATATTAGACTTTTGAGACTTAAAATGTGCCGATGCAACGGGAATGTTAATGTCGATGTGAAATATCATGCATTGCAATTTTGACATTAAACATAACCGCCGCGCGAGACAGCAGAGACAGCTTCACACAATACGGACATTTGACTCATATAAAAAGATGTTTGACTTTAGATAGTTTTTTAACAACCTTGCTTTAAGAGGCCTTAAGTCATAAGTCGAAAGAGATTAAGTGACAATAGTTTCTATTTTTAAACTGTTTTTACTTTAAACTTTAACTGTTAGACTTAAGCAAATTGCGCAAAATCCAATTCTTGCGGCCTAAAATAAGTTCTAAGGCCGATATATCGTCCCTTTCAACTTACAGCTTACAGCCTCTTAAAGCAAGGTTGTGGACTTAGCCTCATGCCGATTGTTTAGATCCACTTGACATTTTTTAAAAAGAGAAGAAACGTATGCATATAATATATAAATATAATTATGAGTTTATAATAATATTTCTCTCTCTCTCTCTCTCTCTCTCTCTCTCTCTCTGTCCCTCTGATGACAATTGCTCTAAACACGTAACTATTGTAATAGACTTCTTTTGGAACAAATCCGCTCGGATATGATCCGGATTCAAAGTGAGAGAAAGGGGAGAGGGGGCAAACACTCGAAAATGGCTGGTTTGAATTTGTATAGGCCCTCGGAAGACCGCAGAGAGACAGGAGGGTTCCTCGAGAGAACGCGGGACGGCTTCCTGAAGCTGAAAAAATACCGGGTACCCGATTGGGCGGGGTGAGGGGGCGCGTAGCCTCGATTTATCCCGTTTCGTTCGCGTACGATTTTGTAATTATTTTACTGCCGGCGCAGACGAAGCCCTAGGAACGGCAGGCAGGCAATCTCGAACGCGCGAAGCCCGCCGGTGACGCAAGATTTTCAAAGTGTTTATAAAATTACGGGGGCGCGATACCGCCGCGCGCGCGACCGAAATAACGCGAAACCGTACAATCATACCGGCCCGCTCCGTATTCAAATCATTATTGGATTTGGGAGCCCTGCTCGTGCACGGATGACGAACAAATAAATCGTATTTCGAATGCGGCAAAGTCGACGCCGCGCCGTGATTCCGTGATTCCGTGATCGGCGGAAGTGCTGAGATCGTTTCTCCAAAACAAGCTTTAGACTCTCCCATCCTTCCGCGTTCCTTCGCCGACGCCGTCAGACCCGAAAGATCCGAGCAGCTTATGATTAAAGTTCGAAACATCCGAACCGTACAATGCCGGAAAAATTCTGAGCATTAATCGAAAATTAAATGTTATACGAATTTTAAAATGATCGAGAGAGTTTCGTGCTTTTATTTATTATGTATTTATTATGTTCGTTTTGGCCGCTTCTTATTTTACGATATACGAATTCCAATCTTTGTTTCAGATCTCGTTAGATGTAAAGCGTATATTAAGATTGTGTTCCAAAACTTACTGTCAGTGCTGAGAATCTACAGTGCACTCTTTAAATTCTTTGCAGTAGAATCTCAATCGAAAGAATGAAAATTGAGTCAGTCTTGGAAAAAATGGCTCAACTTTCAGTCTCTTTAAGAATGCATTTCACTCTAAAAGTTAGAGAGTATATAAACTATAAACATATAAATAACAGATTTTCAGCGTTGGCAGTAAAATTCTAACACAGCCTAAGTTATAGTTTTACCATTAATGTTACTTTTAGATTACAGTTTAAGGTACACAGATTTATTTCACCTTCTGCACACGACTGACGTTCCCTACGTTTAAAGACAGGGAGTTTCAGCTCGAGCATCGGTGAATATTTAAATTCTAACACAGCCTAAGTTATAGTTTTACCATTAATGTTACTTTTAGATTACAGTTTAAGGCACACGGATTTATTTCACCTTCTGCACACGATTGACGTTCTCTACGTTTAAAGACAGGGAGTTACAACTCGAGCATAGGTGAATATTCGTCAAAAATCGTTTATCCAGCTGCGCCGATATGCGTTAACCGAAAAAAAAAAAAAAACGGGTAACAACTTGTAAAAATCGAAGGAAAAATACGTATGTACACTGCTACGCTGACCGAAATTAATATCCGCGGCTTTTGTACGCGTTTGTTTGCGAGTTTGCGTTTCGCCGACGGTCAAAGCGAGGCGGTTTTGCGCGAAAGCGCGTCGTAAAGTTTTTAACGCCGAATGAATCGGCAATGTGTGTAAAGGACGGACGGTAAGGTACGTATATTTCGTTTCACGCGGCTGAGAAACGAGCATCTGCGGTTGTTAACACCGGTATTACGGCATTCCGGAGTATTTCCGACGCGAACGCCGAGCGCGAGTCTCTGGAAAACGGACGACGGCTTTCACCGATTTTTCTCGTGATTGTTCGACGGGAGCTTTCTTGCGGGTGGCCGGAGAATATCCCGTGGGAATCCCGACGATGTACAAAGTCGAAGTGGAATTCGAGAATCAGTCTGATCCTCGCCGTCGGGCTCTGGCCGCGTCACGTCGGAGAGAAGTTCTCCAATGCGGGTAGAAGGGCTCGCCAAAAGGGAGACGAGTCGAATCTGGACAATTCCCGGTGAAAATTTAATGGAAGGTTCACGGAGACATTGGAAGACGTAAACTTCGCGGGGGCGGATTGATTGCTTGCGTGCCGCGGCTAAAACCACGAGAGCACACACATCAATGAATTATCGCGATCGATTATTGCGTACCGGGGGTTCCCCGCCGAGAACTTCAACAACTGATCTGTAGGAATCGTCAGTTCCCTGACTACGTCGCTGATATTTTAAGCGGGAGTAACCATGATCGGTGAAGGATAATTATTGTCTCATTATTATGGCTTTTTTACGACAAGCCATTAATCTAAGCTTAAGTCTTAAACTGTAAGAAATTAACTAATAGGCCGGTATTCATAGTCGGTTCTTA